CAGCTGCACCTCAAGACAGAAGGAGAATTTGTTTGCTTGTTTTTTAAATCAACCCCCCACCATTAGATTATTTTTTTATCATTATAATTATAATATTTTTTTTTATAATATTTATTCCCATCTCCCACTGACCTCTATTCCTGGGCAGCTGGTCAACCAAAGAAACGGTGCTTGGGGAAAAGATGATGCAGAGACAGAGTTCAGGCAGCAGCACTTGGCACAGAAGGGATTTGCTGTGTACACTTTTTAAGGTTTTGCTTGCTGTTTCCTGGCGTCTGCAGGTTTTGTAAGCACAAACACTAACAAACTTCCCTTTGCTTTACACAAAAGCTGATGAATGTGCAGCCTGTTTCCTAACAAGAATAATATTTTAAAAAGCCAAGTGACAGGCTTAGCAACAGATTTTAGTATTTCTAACATATGGTGGTTTGAGAAGAAGCTACAAAATTAACTAATCCTGCTCCAGTTTTTCTCTTATGATCCCTCTGCAACATCTGTATGGGTACCAATTGCTTTCTGCTATGACACAGTATCCTATCAGCATCAAAGAGAGCAGCCCACAGGCTATCTGGTAGGTAATATATTACACTTAACTAAGTCTTTCCTTCACTCTGTACACTTGCTAATATAAAGAACAGCACATTTGGAAAGCATGCAGTGTATTAAAGACAGTTTCATGCACATATGGGTATAGGAGGGACCAGCCATCCCTCTTCTGAAATATCACAAAATATGAAGTGTTTTGAACTGTGGAGCAGGTACAACCCACGCTCCCTGCCTGGAACAAGAAGGACCCCTCAAATACTAGTAGAAACTGACATGTCTTTTAGTACTCGAACAATTATCTTTACAGAAAAATTGAGAAAAAAAATATTTGAAATTTTTAAAAGCAATTCAGAACAAACAACATTAAGTGCTGGTTTTTTAATGTCCTAAAACAAATTTTAAAAAATTAAATATCACTACCTTTACTTTTCTCACCATCACCTCCAACTGTAGAGGGTAAGAGGACTCAGGATTATTATTTTTTTTCTTTTTGTGCTGAGGACATGGACAGTACCTTGTGGGAAGAACTACATTCAGTCCAGAAAACACCAAAGGCACCTACTGGTTCCATCTATGTTGTGCCCCTAAAATAGTGCTATAAAAAAAAAGTCATCAAGAATATCTTCGCCATGAAAGAGTTTGGATCTGAGCAGAGGATTCTGCAGATGCAATGCCAGATTTTCCCAAGACTCCAAAAAGCATCAAGCTTGAATCAGATGCTTTCAAAAAGGAAAAGAGCCGAGGTACACAAATTCCTCTTGAAAGACATTTTTGGGACATGTATGAAATGAGGTCCTCTTTTCATGATGCCTTGTACTCTGACCATCCACGGAAAGCAGAGGTCTTTCTATTCAAGACCATGTTTATACACTTGTGTCCTTGGGAGCATGAGCTTCTCTCTTCACTAGAGCTGCAGGAAGCATCAACTGACTGCTTAGAGGCCACAGAAAAAGGAAAACAGAATTCACCCTTCTGGCCCCATTTCCAACATGGGAGTTTAACGAGTGGGCAGTAACTGTTAACTTTAAGAGTTCTTTGTAGTAGTTTAACACTAACAGTGAAAAATATTTTTCTATTTAAAGATAAAGATCCCAGGTCTGCTTTAATCAGGTAGAAAGAAATTTAACTGAGAACACTAGAGAGTAAATATTAAAACAAAGATGACAGCAGTCAAGTCCTCATTAGTGTACTAACTGAACCAACTCAAAAGGACTACTGAGCCATGTGGCCTCTTGGGTGTTGCCTTCACAGAGCAGCAGTGTAGGAGAAATATCACTTACATACCACAGGTACCATCAGGTCCGTTTCCTATGATTATTGCTTGGTTCAGCACCAACCAACTCAATTACAGTATTGAATGAGCAACAATGAAAATGTAATCACTGAGACTAGCCAACGTGTCAAAGCACAACCGTAGGACTTGGAAGAGTTCCCATTTGGGAAACACGCTGCTTCAGGGAAAGCCCACGGTGAGCTCTCTTGCCTCTCCTCAACTTTTCTGTAAAGCACAGAGTGAAACACAGCCCACAGGAATGGGGTGATGCATATTACTACTAGCACTGCAGCACAGATCGATCTGAACCATCCTCATGCCTCCACTAACTGATTAAAAATAGGAAACCTCTCAGTTCTCAAGCTCAGATGCTTCTAAAATTATCCACATCTCCAACCGCTTAAATAGGTTCTAGCTAATTATGGATAGAGTGGAAGAACCCTTACAGTATTTTATTGCCTCGCAGATAATCACAATAAACACTTCCAATACTCAACACATCAGCTGTATTAAACTCTAAGCAGCTGTGTGCTGGTTTTTTCATATATCCTTACACTCTTCCACTACACCACCAGGCTACGCAACGCTCCTTTTCCCAGACTAGAAGCTGAATGCCTGCTTATGAGGAATGAAGGGCAAAAAAAAAGAAGAATTCCCCAGAGGAGCAGCAAACATGGAAAATTTTGGGAACAGCATGCTACAGAAATTCAAGGATGCCATTACAGAAACTATACTACAAATTATGTGTTCTGTAGCTTTAAAAAACATCTGGATTTAGCCTTTCTGCAAGCTAAAAAGATTAGGTAGAAAATGGATGTGTGCTCTGAAGCAGGGCTATAATGACTTGCCAGTCTTGTTTGGTATTTTTGCTTCCAACACAACTATGTTCAGCACTACTGCAAGGAGCTTGATGCAGATGTGCACCTGACAGAGCAGCAGCAGGTCTGAAGAGCTCTATTAAAAATATCACCATCACTTGTTTCAGTCTTACTCTGCCCCCCAGAAAACAAACCATGGACTCAGCATGATTATCTCATTATTTGTGAACATACACATTTTCATTCACAACCTGACCATCATCCAACATTTCACCTGCTGCATTTTTTTCTAAATTGCACAAAGGCAAACTTTTTACTTCCGTATTGAATGAGAGGTGCTCAGAATTTAAAAATCTCTAATTAACATTTGCTGTAGATTTTCTGCCAGTGCTGAGCAGGGAACCATAACAAATCAGAAGATTTTTTAATTATAGCAATTGGGAATCAAAAAAACACAGATCAAAATTAACATTCAGCTCTCCTGTTAACACACAGCAAGTACTTTCCTGCAGCAGTGTTGTTTAACTGAACACCTTAGACACAAAAATTTAAGAAATTTAAATGAGTATATATTGTGTATGTTCCCCTGTGCCCAGGGGTTAAGCTGCTGTTAGTGAAGATGACTAAAAAAATTAGACACTATAGAACACAACAGAGTTTTCCCCCCTTTATACTGAAGGCCATGTTTCTCAGGTATGCAACGGCACGATTTATTCAAGTTAGAACAAGGATGCAGCCAACCTTAAATGACCACCTTTGTTTTTGTAGGGTGAACGTAACCACACACAAGCTAGTAAGGGTGGCCTGTATTACAGCATCAATTTTTTTTGGTGAAGTTAAGGGGAACTTCATAAAAAAACACATCCAAACCATACAACTCCAAGCACTATTTAAAATGCTTACATGTATTAAGAGAAGTATATCAATAAAGACATCTATTGATAGAAAGGATCCCAAACACTTAAAAAAAACCCAACATATTGAGCAGATAATGCTTTACCAATATCATTAAGAAAGGAGAGTGTGATTATCAAAAAAAGGAGGGGGAAAATTCAAAGCTGCTTCAGAAATTATATAGTCCTCCACAAGCATAAACTTTTTATAAGATACAGTGTGTGTGTCTCACTAGACTATAAATAAAGGAGTACTAGGAAATTTGTGAAGGCATCTTCTGAAACACAGACCCAACTCCTCCAATCTCAGAAGCATAACCTTTCTCTTCTACTAGCAGTGTCCATGCACTGTTCTCCAAGCTCAGTCCAGAAATTCAAGCTACTACATTCCAGACCACGGTGCTTCCTTCATATTTGTATATAAACAATGCTGTGACTGCAACTACTACATATAGATAATGCTGAATTTAGGCTTGGTGTATCTGAACATGAGCCAAAAGTCTTCTTGGAAACATTTATTCAGTATCCTTCCCCATACGTTCTTCAGCCTCTCTGAAAGAAGCGTTCTGAACTATCAATACCCAAAGTAAGAAAACAGACAGCAGAAGGTGGGGAAAAAGTTAGAAAAGCAAGCAAAATTGTCGAAACCATTCAATCTAAAAGAAAATGAGGCTTCCTTCTTCCTGAAATTCATATACCTAAATGCAAATATTATAACTCAATTGCTCAAATTAGTCTAGCTTCCTTAAGTATGGAACTATTGGAACACAGAATGGCAGGTGTAATTCCTGAGAACCAGATATGTTTTCCATTTTTGGAGTCAATCATGTTCTTTTGACAGCTAAACTCTGAAAACAATGTCTGAAGTTATTTTTATTGTAATTGCATCTCCCCTCCCTTGCAAGGTTCTACAATTTTAGTAAAGTACAGTATGAAATACCAACATTTCTCATGCTTGAAAAGGACAACTCATATGGAGCTTTCTATTTCCCTACAATAAGATACTGCAATCACTTGTAGGTTCTGACCTGATACAGGAAAAAAATTCACAACAAAGGTGGTTAAACATCGGAACAGAGGCCCAGAGGGGTAGTGGAATCTTCATTCTAAGAGATTTTGAAGGACCAACTGTACCAAGCCTTGCACACCCAAATCCAACTTTTAATACTACCCCAACTTTGAGCAGGAGTTCAGATTACCTCCAAAAATTCCATTCTAAGAGATTTTGAAACACCAACTGTACCAAGCCTTGCACACCCAAATCCAACTTTTAATGCTACCCCAACTTTGAGCAGGAGTTCAGATTACCTCCAAAAATTCCAAGAAACCAAGATTTTTCTAGAAACCCATGATATTTTAGTAATAGACAGAAGTTCCTTTCTTAGTTTCAATCCCAAATTCCCTCTGAAGTCCTATTACCTGGAAAGGAAATCTGAAATTAGAACTAGTAGATGAATGACAAATACTCACCACCATATTGTAGGCATCAGGAACTTCAATTTCAAACTGAAACTTTCCACCTTGGTAATAGCCCTCATCTAGAAAAACAAACAAACAAACAAACAACAAAAATACTTAAATAAGATAAAATAACAGAACCCATATAATACAGAATATCTGTCATTCTCAAGGTTAAAAAAAAGGGGTTATCATCAAATACTTAACCTGTAACACTAGCTGAGCTCTGATCCAATGAGAGTGTGAACATAGTGTCTTCACTTACTCCCAAAATCTTTACAGGAGGAATCAATTTAAGTCAGAAGAGTTAACAGCCCCAGAGCAACCATGGAAAAACCACCTTCCTGATGACAGTATCAGTCAATACCAAGCTAGAAGAACCTTTGATTGAACTTCTCATGTCTCTATAAACACAATTCTGCCACACAGCAGCTATATGGCACATGGTATCACAACTCCGACCCTTGAAATGAGCTGGACACATACTTCACTTGCTAATTCCTGCTCCAGGATTTAGCACATCTTCCTAGATTTGTGCTAGCAATCACGTATCATGAGTAATATGAATAATGGTGTGCAAGAGCATGCTTCAGAGTGTACTACAATAAAAGAGCAAGCTAGCTCTTTTATTGTAATTATCTTAGGATGATATATGGGTTAGGAAAATCTGCCTGCCTCTGTCACCCTCAGATTCAGTACCGAATTATTAAAATGTCGCAATCTTAAAATATGAAATCCAAAAATATCTACTTGCATTTAACCAGGCATAATATAATAGGACAATAATCAGCCTGCAAATCTTGAGGTGGCTGTGCTTGGCAGCTGAAATGCTTGCAAGCGACCCGAAATGTGAGTGCCTGGCATTGTCATTATTGAGTTTTGTCATTAAGAGAGGGAAACAGACAGGTACCCAGCCCACACTGGGGGTCTGGCCCTCCTGAAGAATGCTCAGGCTCAAACCAGCTTGAGTACTTCAGATCTCTCTATCACTTGGCACAGCCATGGTAATGGCTTGAGGGTCAGGAAGGCTGGCTACCATTGTATGACAGTATTTTTTAATTCTATTTTTGAAACCAACATTGCAAAGGGAAGTCCCAGGAAGCAATCTACAGTTCACAGAAAGTTTTAAAACTTTTTTTTTTATCTAGCTTTTTCCAAACCACAAAAAGTTCTAGCTTCTCTACTATATGTCATCAAAATTCTCTTTCAAGATGGTGTCTTCTGGACCTGCTGCCTTCCCAGTCCCTACACAGACCCAGCACGACCTTTTATTTTCTCATACCAACCAATGCACCACATCCACGTGCCCAGGCTTTACTCCACCCTACAACCTCACCACGGTCAGCAAAAGCCTGCAGTTTCCACACTGTAATTGCTACAATCACAAGACAGCAGCTCCTTCCTCTTCGCAATCTCTTATCAGCTGACTTGTTGAAAAGGAGAGGGCATCACTCTGTTAAACAGCACAAACCCCCAGTTGGAGGGGGCAACGAGCCAAGAAATCCTGATGCTGCCAAAGATGAGGCTCAACTGCACACTGTGCCTGCAGAACAGCAAAATTGTTGCTGGGAAGTACATCACAGACCAGCTTCTCCCAGGAGCCTGTGTAGACAATCAACAGGTTCAGGATGTGAACAGCATCAGGAATTTTGGATTGCAACAACAACATAGGCATGGGGTGTGAAAACAGAACATGGTGGGTCTTCCCCACCCCACACAGCGACGTCTACAGCTGCTTCCACACTGAAGTGCCCCCCATAAAGCTGCAAATCTCACTTTAATAACCTGTCCAGAACACATGCTTTTCAAATACATTCTCTATTTCCACTCCAATTCAATTTTGAAGTGTGTTTGATTTATTAAGTAGTCTTCTCAGGCATGTTATGCTTTACCAGAAAGTAAATGCAAATGCATTGATTTTTTTTTGAGGGGGGGAGGCAAGATAAAAGCATTTATCTTTTGTTTTCAAATATACTCAGATAAAAATCAGCAAAGCAATCAATTTCTAAAAAATGAGATGTAAAAGGTAAGTTATACCAATAGCCTCCTGATGAAACTGCTCCCCGTCAAATGTTTAAAACACTCAAAGCAAGATACTGACTGTTTCAGGATGGAATGATTAGGGAAATGGTCCCATATCTCCCTGGGAGTTCAAACAGCTCAAGTACCACTGAGTTACCCTACAGGACACAGCTAATTCCACTTTTAGACACCATCTACCACATTATAGTAGCTTTTTAACCAGGTGTCAGGAATCCTCACTATTTCCAAACAATGCCATTCTTATAAAAACCACAGTCAAAAGTCTCAGGTCTTTTAGTGATCATACTAAAATGAATAAGCAACACCACACAGGAATTCAGGGTTTGTTATAGTGGAAGTCATGTACCTCGAAAGCCTTGCACAGGCCTCCCCACTGCCCTTTGGCTCACACCCACTTATCAAGCTATCACTTCCCAATATATGCAATCACATGAAACACTCACATGTGATTGTGTAAGGAAAAGCCTGCTGCCAGCACAGCAAGGTAAGGAGAAATACCATCGCTGTTAAGGCTGTTCAGGAAGTCCAGCAGCAGAAAGTTATTTTCCTTGGCTTAATTTCAGTAGCTCCTTGGTTTTGTGGACTTGGAACGAAGCGCACGGCAGCTCTTCATATTCCATCCCTGTTACCCTGAAATAGATGCCTGTTGATGGATGCATGTACCATGTGCCTTATGTCAAAGAAAATCCTGAGATTTAATGAATCCTCACTGTAATACAATTGTCCTACACATTCAAGAATGGTTCCAAGGAAGGAGAGCTTGCCAAGACTGTCAGATTCCTGCCAGCCAAGCAGCAAGACTCTCTGCACACTGAAAACTCCAGCCCCACAGCCTCTGCAGCAGTGCAGGAACTTTGACTTCCAGGCACAGACACCAAGATCACCCTGACATTGCTCAAGAGGGTGGGGAGAAAAGCTGACCAGCTGTTCTTCATTTTCCCTGCTCTTCCCCACCACACAGCCCTAGGTCAGGAGAACTTCCACCCAGCCATGGAAGAAACTCCCAGTGTCCCATGTGCAGGACAAAATCAGACAAGGTGAGTTCAGCAGGAGGGGACAAGCCCAGTTGAGCCTCTCTCACTGTATAAAACCATCACTACAAGAAGAGTGCAGTGTCCTGCAGGATGACTGAGATGAAAACTGGCGTGCAGAGGGGTTAAATTATCACCAGTGTCAGAAGAAGAAAAGGGGCAGGACCAGATGGTGAAAAAGCACCCCTTTTCCATAGCAGAAACACGTTTTACATTAGCTCAAGCACTTTCTTACCACCTATTAACACCTCCAAATGCTGTAAGAGATTCCTCATGCATTAATTCAGTTTTCTCTTATTTGTTTTTTCTGTGTTCTATGTAAGGCTGATAAATCTGTGGAAGACTTAGAGCACTTTACACAGGTCATTTCCAAATACACAAACAGGTCTCCCTCAAAGACAACTCAATACTCATCACTGCCTTGCATTACAACTCATTTTATAATGTTCCAGGTTTACCTTGTCACCAGGTACACTACTGGTTCTGCTGGAAAATAACCAAGGACATATTTACCAAAGTAGAAGAGTAAAGCAGCTCTCCTCCCCTGTTTTTTTACCATTCTCCCTGGATGTTTGTAAATCTTTTCACTAAAGCAACAGTAAAGCACAGTACTCATTACCAATCACCCATCAAAATTTGTATCTCTGGAGGGCCTCAGTACTCAGCCACAGATAAACAAGATAAACCACAGTTTAACAAGATAAACCTTCACAATGAAGTCACCTTAGGGCATCTCAAGCAAGTAAATAGGTTCCCCCACATGGTTGTTTCCTTCCCTGTGTCCAACACCACCCATACAGACTGGGACAAAGGCCCTCAATTTTTTTTAGGCATGGACCAGTGGTGGAAAAAACTCAAGTTCTGGCAAAGTCAATCATGAGGAAAGTGCTATAAATAAAGCAGTCAAATAAAATAGCTTTAGCACGTAACCTAGGGATTTCTCCACTGACAAGACTTTTGCAAAAGTGGAATGTGTCTAAGCTCCAGTTTTCCTCCTACTGCTTAAATTTATGTCTTCAAGCTATATTAACAAGCATGCCTCCCACTTCAGTCTCAACTTTCATTATCAACAACCTGACTCTAATCTTAGTTCATATTCGTAAGGCATTTTGATGACTAGAAGTGCTATGAAAATACTAAACTAAATTATTTTAATGCTTTGAAAGAAAATCCAAGATAATTAGGACAGGCCACAAAGGATGTGCCTGTGATAGTAGCTTCCTGAATCAGCAGCGTTGAAATGCTCAGCCACGCTCACCAACATTTGTCATTTAATGGCACGAAAAACACAAAACAGGCTCTATTAATTCCCTGAAAAGTTGGACTCTAAAATAACCACACTAACCCCAAACTACCCCAACGGCCTGGGAACTGCAGGAAAATTGCATTAACCCTACATATTCCTCCACTTTTCTTCACGTGCAAGCTACCTAAATTAATCTTTATTTTTTTTTCCAGGTCATTACCATGTTTTAGTTTCAGCTTCCAATTTTGTGCTCCAAATATCAGTGCAGCAGGCAGGACCTTGCCCGTGTTATAAGCATCTACCTCCTTATTTTTCCTAGCTTTTGATCCAATATGGTACTGGTACAAAAATAAGAAAAAAGGCAAGTGGTGGCACATTTTTTAACAACAGAACAATTGTTTCAGATGACAAAACAAAAAAGGAGCTTCAGACAGCAAAGAAAGCCAGCAGTATGTGTCTTGGGAACACACTGTTTGTCCATTGTGGCACTAAAACCTAACTCTTAACAATTTTCTAGTGTGTGCTACTATATATCCACTTACGTGCACTGCAGAAAGCTATGGCATAAAGGAATAGGAAATCCTTGAGCACAAGTAATTTTTTTGTCTGAAATAAGTGGTCAACCTCAAAAATCTTCTACAAATTCACTTTCATTTAAAACCTAGGAATTCCTTGAGCACAAGTAATTTTTTTTGCCTGAAATAAGTGGTCACCCTCAAGAATCTTCTACAAATTCACTTTCATTTAAAACTCACTGTCACCAGAATAGTTTTGTGACATTATACACTTACTACAAAAGGTTATTTGAGAAGCATGGAGAAAGGGAGCTGAAAGTATTTCTATTTGGTAGTAAAGTTTATTTTCTTATTCAAATTAGCCTTTTTGTGAGAACCTAAAGAAGCTTCTTTCACTGCCCTCTGGAGACCATCCACATTTGAAAGGATTGCATAAAACAAAGCACCCAAGAACAGGCTTTGTCTTCAACATAAAGCTAGAGCCAAACGTACAAGCAGAATTTCTCGAAGTAACCAAGCTCCTCAATGCAAGAGACAATTCCAGGCAGGAAAAAAAGAAACTGGCTCTTCCTCCTGACTGTCAAGATTCATAAAACATTGTTTAGGCACTGCAAAAATAGCCGCCTCAAGTAGATTTTGGCCCATCTGAGCCAGAAAAACTCTGTGACAGTCACTTAGCTGCTTCTCTGCCACCCCAGAGAAAACTAAGATTTAGCATACTCTAAAGAAAAACCTCAATAATAAAAGAAAATCAGAAAGCTACAAAGATTTTTCTTGTTATGTGCTATGTTCTGCCTTTAGAGAGCTGTGCTAAGCTGTAGCTGATCACAAGATTCTGTACCTGAATTATGCACAGCTGAAAATAGATGTTTACTCCGGTCAGACTGCAACTGCAGAGACTTCAGCTGTGCAGCTATATTTAGAGTAACAAAATGTTAATTAAGATCCTCTCATTCCCAAGATCATTTCAGCAATGAAGCTAGCACAAAAACCATGCTCTGTACCCAACAACTGTCTTCTGACTGCAACATCTCTCTGCACAGCAATTAACGGACAAAAATTGATTATGTTTTTAGATACCTTCAAACTAGTATGAAGAAGCTATCATTGCTGCACGTCCAAGACATCCCTAACTCACAGGGTGATGATCTTGTAAAGCCAACTCATTTCCAAAATATAATATAGCAGCATCATATAAGCTGAAGGACATTTGGTGCAAGCAGACTAACACCAAGTACACACGACTACATCTTCTACACAGAATGAGAGGTCTAGAGTTCTATAATAACACTTGCATTTATTTTTTGATTACACTGACCAGGGCAAACCTTGCTAATCTTTCCATCACAAAAAGGAGTCACATGAATAGACATATTAACAAAGACCACCCAAGATTTCTACTGCTCAGGAAGCACTAGTTGGTTTTGGGTAATAAGCAGCAACAGTGACATCTAGTGCCCATTTGACTTCAATATACTGAATTATCAGAAGAATTCTATCATCTTGTTATGTGTAAATCTTTACTTGTATAGGTAAGACATCAGGATAACTGCCACACTGCATCTAAGTTCTGTTGTCAATAAGCATCTAAAGAAAATTTATATCTACAAGATTCAGTTGGCAGGGAGAGCCTGATCTCAGCACATCAACAAACACATCAACATTGTCACTTAAACAGTTGTACAGTCTCAAAGGTAACACAAACCAAAAATAAGGGATGCATGTGAAATTTAAGTACTCGTGTATGCAAATTCACCCATCAAAGACAAACACAACTTTCTATTCTAAAATGGACAGCCATGCAAGCCAACTCTGTAATTTCAGATGGCTATTAAGAAACTTACACAGAAAAGACAAATTCTGGAAGTGCAGTCCTGAGGTTTTGGTTTTATTGAACAGTATGCCAGCAGATGCTTCACAGTATATTTAATTAATAATTAATGCTCTGATTTCCACATACTTGATTATTCAAAGACTAAGAGACACCGACTTGTTAAGCATCTTCAGCCACACATAGATTTGAAGTTTTCCATAGTGTTACATCTGTCATCTGCCTTTTCAACTCTGCAGCCTCAAGCAAACAGCAGAAAAGAATAAATATGCAACAGGGCTGTAACAGAGTAATTTCTCTAGACATAGGCCAAGATTTCTCTCCGCAAATAAAACAAGGCTGTTTAAAATTGGCTGAGAGGAAAAAAAAGCTTTCAATCAAAGTGAGCAAGCAAGACCTGAATACTTCCTAAACCTGCTCAATTTTGATGGCATCAAATTCTCAAAATCCAGCACTCTTTCGCAATTGCCTCGATAAAATAATCACTATTACTGCCAGTCTGTCTTTAACTAAAAGGTTTATGGGATTCTGGAGAAAACTCATGAAATTACATCTCCTAACCATCAACGCACACAGAAATAAAACATGTTTAAAAAAATTACCTGGGATTACAGTTAGCTGAAAGTAATGAAGCTTGTTTGGGTCAGGAAAATTCACTTTACATGTACCTGCAAAGCAAAACAACAACTTACATCAGACAATTGTTTTTTTCACAGTTGGGAAAGCAAGTATATCATCCTTCATCATAGAATGGTTAGAGTTGGAAGGGGCCTTAAAGATCATCTGGTTCCAACCCCCCTGCCATGGGCAGGGACACCTCCCACCACACCAGGTTGCTCCAAGCCCCATCCAGCCTGGCCTTGAACCCCTCCAGAGATGGGGCAGCCACAGCTTCTCTGGGCAACCTGTTCCAGCGTCTCACCACCCTCACAGCAAAGAATTTCTTTCTAATATCTAATCTGAGTCTCCCCTCTTTCAATTAAAACCATTACCCCTCATCCAATCACTGCACTCCCTGACAAAGAGTCCCTCCCCATCTCTCCTGTAGGTCCCCTTCAGGTGCTGGGAGGCTGCAAGAAGGTCTTCCCAGAACCTTTTCTTCTCCAGACTGAACAACCCCAACTCTCTCAGCCTGTTTCAGAGCAGAGGTGCTCCAGCCCTCGCATCATCTTGGTGGCCCTCCTCTGAACTTGCTGCAGGAGGTCCACATCATTCTTATGTTGGGGGCTCCAGAGCTGAATGTAGTACTCCAGCTGGGATCTCACAACCAAGGAGTAGAGATGCAGAATCACTCCCCTCGACCTGCTGGGCTGCAAGCACACATTGCCAGGTCATTTTGAGCTTCTCATCCACCAACACCCCCACATCCTCCTTCTCGGGGCTGTTCTCAATCCATTCTCTGCTGATTCTGAATTTATGCTTGGAATTGCCACGTCCCAGGTGCAGGACCTTGCACTTGGCCTTGTTGAACTTCATGAGGTTTCCATGGGCCCACCTCTCAAGCCTGTCCAGGTCCCTCTGGATGGCATCCCTTTCCTCCAGCGTGTCAATCACACCACACAGCTTGATGTCATTGGCAAACGTGCTGAGGGTGCACTCGATCCCACTGAGTCACCAACAAAGATGTTAAACAGCACTGGTCGCAGCATCAACCCCTGAGGAACACCACTAGTCACAGGTCACCAACTGGACATCAAGCTGCTGACAGCAACTCTTGTGAGCATGGCCATCTAGCCAGTTCCTCATCCACCAAGTCATCCATCTGTCAAATCTACATCTCCAATTTAGAGACAAGGATGTCATGTGGGATTTGTGCAAAGCAGCATCAACCCCTGAGGAACACCACTAGTCACAGGTCACCAACTGGACATCAAGCTGCTGACAGCAACTCTTGTGAGCATGGCCATCCAGCCAGTTCCTCATCCACCAAGTCATCCATCTGTCAAATCTACATCTCCAATTTAGAGACAAGGATGTCATGTGGGATTTGTGCAAAGCATTTGACACTGTCCAGGTAGATGATGTCACCTGCTTTTCCTTTATCCAACACTAATGCCACTGCAGGAGGCCATCAAATCTGTCAGACACAATTTGCCCTTAGTGAAACCATGTTGTCTGTCCCAACACTGTAATGCCACTGCAGGAGGCCATCAAATTTGTCAGATGCGATTTGCCCTTAGTGAAACCATGTTGTCTGTCACCAATCACCTCCCTATTTTCCATGTGCCTTAGCTTGGTTTCCAGGGGTTTCATCTTGGTTTCATCTGCTCCATGATCTTGCTGGGCACAGAGGTGAGACTGACTGGTCCATAGTTTCCCAGGTCTTCCCTCTTTCCCTTTTAAAAAATGGGGGGGTATGTTTCATCTTTTTCATTCAGCAGGAAATATTCCAGCCATATTCTCCAAATTCACTCCCTGATTAATCCCTCCAGTCAAGTGATCCCGGGTCTTCCCTTTTTCCCTTTTAAAAAATGGGGGTTATGTTTCATCTTTTTCAGTCAGCAGGAAATATTCCAGCCATATTCACCAAATTCACTCCCTGATTAATCCCTCCAGTCAAGTGATTTCATCCTATACTTTAAGTGCCTCTTCCCTATACAGCTACACATCACCTGCAGTAATGGAATTTCATTTCTTTCAGCTGTGAGGAAGCTTATTTCTTTTCTGTAAACCATGCCGTCTCAAAGACCTTAAAATGTCAAAAGGTTTTGGTCTTCTGTATATATACTAGCTACATGTAAGATGACAGCATACATAATGAGCATCTCTTCCTTACAAGTTCATTAATGGTAGCATGTATGTCTTAATATTTGATCATCCACTGCAGTCTGCAAGAAGTCGTGCCACCACAGTCCTATGTTAACGAAGGATTATTCATACCTGTAAGCTATAATGAGATACAAGCTTTACTGAAAGCCTCATCCAAAAGCCAGTGAAGTCTCCACTCAGCTGTCATAATGAACAAGTTATTCTGCATAACCAATTACACATATTAACAGCAAAGGTTATAGAGCATCGCTGCAAACCAAACACTATGTTTTTATTCTCAGACTAGATGAATTTAAGGAGAAGAGGGAGAATGAAGAACAAGCGTGGAAAAAAAACCACATTGGGGAGTTGGACTAGATGATCTCTATGGTCCCTTCCAACTCTAAAAATTCAGTGAAAAAAAATATAAAATATCAATCTGATTAAACTAGTCAGTGGTTTCAATTCACCAGATGCAAATTCACAGCATAACAGCCCTTTGTTCACATTTGATGACACAAAGTTGCCTTCCCATGCACAAAACTGGCCTTTCTTGATTATGGCAGGGACAAGCTGTCAAGCTACCACTAGAAGATGCGTATATCCATGGATACATTATTATCCATATTATGCAGCCTTTAGCTCCTTAGTCCGTCAAGCTGGCTGTTCTTTTTCTGTAGTCAAGAAGCTAAATAGTATCAGAGATACAGACCCCATTTGCCTGAAAAAATAACTAGAACTGTACACAAACACTAGTAATGCACTCCTGTAGTAACTACAAACCTCAGCACACATTTATCAGGCGTCCATTACCCTATAGAAGAGTCTACACAAAAGAGTTTAACCTAAGTTAAAAATATTCTGTGTAAAATCCCTATAGTTCTATTTAAAGAAGAAGAGCATACAGAAAGGAAGAGGTCAATAATGTCTTTCTTCTCTCCCTTTTTGCTGCTTCTGTTATTTTTCCTCTTTGTAACTCCTGTGTGTACACTGAAAAACCTGATTTTTGCTATCTGAGCATCGATCCAAACTTAGAATCATTAACAAATTGAAGATGCTCATCAGAAGCAGCACTCAGAAGTTTAATCTGGAGAAAAAAAAAAGAAATATGCTCAAAGCTTCCCTTCAATGGGTAAAAGGCAGAAACATCCCGAGCTACCTGCCAGCATAATCAGAGAGGATATTCAAATTTTCTTTGTAAAATAAGCATATGGGCAAAACAGTGTGGATGCACAGCACGGCAACAACCTGCACGTACGCTCTCCGTCTGCTGCAAGCAGCTCCTGCCTCTTTCCCTGCAGGGAAAGCATCTTAGATTGCTCTGACACAGGAACATACACCACAGGAACTTCTTCTGTAGAGCGAGCGATGGGCTCTGAAGGTATCTCTGAGCTCATTAGGCAGTAACTGGTTGTGCTGCAAGAACTCGTGGCAGGATGATGCTGTTCTGGTCAACACTTGAAGGGGAAAGGAGCTCAGGAACAAGCCAGCTTCACTGTCAACATCCACCCTCAGCAACAGATACCAAGCAGTAGGAACTTTACCCCCCTTTATAAAAGGGCTTTGTGTTCTCCTGTCCATTACAGGACTAGCCTTCCTAAAGCTAAAGAGCAGAAAACATACACTTGATATTTAACTATCTATCCACCTCTCCACAATCCCTTAAGAGGGAGTAACGAAGAAAACCTGTTCAAACCTGGGTGGCAGAGTTTTGCATAGTTTTCCCTAGAGTTAACAAATACTAACATTCATATTTCGGTCAAAACATTCAGTTCGATGGCCCTTTTCCCCTTAAAATCGATGTCATCAAATGCCATACTTACAAGGTAAATTAGCTTCAAGTTCTGCAACCTCTGTTGAAAGAAAAAAAAAACAAACAAAAAACTGTTATTTATGCAAGCATAAAGCCATTCTTTCTTTCCCTAGAGTTAAAAAATACTAACATTCATATTTTGGTCAAAACATTCAGTTCAATGGCCCTTTTCCCCTTAAAATGAATGTCAAATGCCATACTTACAAGGTAAATTAGCTTCAAGTTCTGCAACCTCTGTTGAAAGAAAAAAAAAACAAACAAAAAACTGTTATTTATGCAAGCATAAAGCCATTCTTTAAGTCCAAATTGGCAGATCTAATTTAAACCACCCTGTAAATCAAACTTCACTTAAAAATATAATTAAGCTACACTGGAGGTTTACCCCGAAATTTCTCTCTAAGCCACACATTACTGAAAAACTCGTGTGCCCTGCAGACAATACGAAGGTATCCTACTGTGATTAGGAGGTTCAACTCTGCCAAGACTGAAGTGTCAGGGCTCCTAATATACAAAACACTGGCATTTCAAAAGGTGGCATTGCAGAAACCAGCATTAAGGGCACCAAAAGAACAGAAAAAGACAGACTTTCACTTCAAACACCTGGCACAGCAACAGGAATTGGTCAGTGACAAAACAGCCTGGCTGGTTGGTGCAGCAAGAATGATGCTTATTTGACTCCCAGCTCCTGCTTCCTTGGCATAGCCCTGGTATCTCTGCATCTCCAACCTACTACACCAAGAGAGAAAACCCCACCAAATCAGAAACACTGTGTTTCATACTAACCTAAAAAGTTCACAACTGCACTCATTAAAATCCCATGCCCCACAGCATTGGAGCAGCCATAACTGATTTAACCAAAGTTGTGCACTGAAAGACATCAGGGGCATACTTTTGCTAGAAGTTTTCAAAGAGTCATCTTTACAAAATACCAGAAGTATAATTCCAGCTATAATCAACGACCTTTTTTTTTTTTTAACCAGGAAAGTAAAAATTAAGACAAGACATAAGGGACTACTGAAAGCTGCAGCTAAACAAACCCATGTAAAACTATTTCCCCACCCCTTTCTCTGTAAACTCACCAGCCTTTCAAAGTGGGAAGCACCATCTATCTTCACTAGAGAGGAGAGTTTAGGACTTGGCTCTCATTTTAAGGTGTTGATGGCTTTCCTTATTGCACTGTGTTTATGCATTGCTTGGCTTAATGAACCCTGCCTGCCCTTCCTTTCACTTTTGAGAAAAGGACAGGTGGGGGAAAAGGGCAAAACCAGGACAGAGCATGTTGAAACCCTCTAATGGCCAGGCTGCAGCTGCTCTGCTGGCCTGGGACCTCACTTCTGTCTCTTGCAAGTTTCAGTAGAGACTTTACTGATCACCATAGCTCCTTTGAAGAGTGAAAAATTTCCTGTGATGTATTCACGCTTCTATGTTTCTGTCTTAGCAAAAAAAATGAGTGGGTTTTCTTGTGAAAACGTGAAAATGAAGGTGTTCACATCCATGGGTACAGAACAGTGTGCTTGCTCTTTGAAGGTGTGCAAAACACATGGGAGGACAATAGGACAAGAGGAAACAGCCTCAAGTTGGGCTAGGAGAGATTTAGATCGGCTATTAGGAAAAAAAATTTACCCTGAAAGGGTCATTTGGGATTGGAACAGGCTGCTCAGGGAAGTGGTTGAGTCACCATCCCATCCCTGGAGGTATTTAAAAGACAGGTAGATGTATTTAGAAGACCTGGAGGTATTTAAAATACAGTTTAGTGATGGGTTTTGTCAGTGTTAGGCTGCTGGTTGAACTAGATGATCTGAAAGGTCCCTTCGAACCTAAGCAGTTCTATGATTCTATAACTAATCCACATGACAGCTTTGTGAACAAAGGCAAGTTCCCCAAAATTAAGGTTTCTAGTCAACTCTGCAACAAACCACTGAAACTAGAAACGAAGCAACTATATAAAGATTTAAAAAAAAAGGAGGTAAAGACCTGTTTCAATAATGTAAACTTCTCGAAACTAAAAACAAAGCAACTATATAAAGATTTTAAAAAGGCACGTAAAGACCTGTTTCAATAATGTAAACTTCTAAAGTACAGAACCAGATGTTACTATTAACTGTATCATATTAACTTTGGTGATTAACCAGCAAATTTAATGTGCCAAAGCTACCACGTCTGTGAGTTTGCCAAATTCTGTAACTCTGATAGTGATAGTCTTGACATTGAACTCATTGTTGTATTTGCTGCTTGGAAAGCAAACACTTTGACCACAACATTCAAGCTCCACTAAGATTCTGAGGTTTTAAGTTACGTATTTTCTACATAAAGCAATACCACTGACAAGAACATTCTCTGTAAAAGAATGTCCCTTGTGCAGTCTGCCAACTTATTGGCATGGTTTAACAGATTGGTAAATAAGCAAAACATAGAAGCAACAAATAGAACACCAAGGCACTGAACTCCTGAGAACTCTAAAAGCCTCACTAAAGAATGAACTTAGTCTTACAACCTTTCTGACAAACAGTAAAAAAATCCAATTCAACTACTTTTCATAATGTTTTGTGGATAATCAGTACCTGTGTCTCAATTCACAGCCAGGCACCTTATTGTTCCTTAAGATACAGAGACAAATAACTGGATAATCCAAGTCCCAGGAAGCATTGTACAAAATCACTCCAGAAGTTCCAAGGGAAGCCACTGCTCATCAGTGCCTGCTTAGTAGTATCTTAGAAGAGGTGCAGAAACACTGTGGACCATCTGAATTCCTCTTGGAGTCAGGAGGACTGACTGCCAAGAAGCAGCAAACCCAGGAGCAGTGCAAGGCCCTGCACCCAATTTGATAAGCCTTCCTGGGTAGGTCATAAATGCAGACACACACCAGAGCTTCTGCAGGGAAAAAACCTGGGGTGCAGTCAGACCAGACCCAGAGTAGCTCCCAACCAGCCAGTCTGGTGTTCCTGAAATATTATTTGATCTGGTGCAGGAGCACACCCAAGCGGCAGGTCCATTTGCAGAGTCCTGCTCTTGACCCAGTGTGCACTTGCTCAACCAGTTCAAATGCTATTTTAACTCCTTAAAAAGAGTTTAAAGGCAAGGGTTAAGCTTAAACCTACCACAGACTTTGGAAAAGCTGAATACAAACTGATTATGTCTCAGAAACAGCTTACAAACTTTATAAAACGGGGAGAAACTAAGCCTAACACAAGCAACCAGAGCTATTTATAAGGGATTTCACAAACAATAATTCTATCTACCCGTGAAATTTCTCAGGACAGAAATAGGAACACACGCTCCTGACGTGCATATGGTTTATGAGACCCCCACATGAGTGTTATATTCAGTAAGGCACAGACTATAATCACGTTGTTCTGCTCTCCCCCTTCCCCCACCGAGACTCAACAAGTCAGAATATAGAAGAGCTTTGTTTACTGGCCTTGCCACAGAGTCAGGCCACACGCCTCCCACTGGAGTTTAAGTCTGCAAAATGAAAGCATTATTTCCTCAACTAGAATTACTGTTCTCATGCACAGCAATACTTACTTCTCTCTGCTTTTGTCCAAATGGCCCCCTCTCCTGTTTAGTTCCCTCTGTAATGTACATCTGTGACACTGCTAGAGATCAAGATGAATACCTTGACACTGACAAAAACTCCATTTGCCAATATGCCAGTACAGACCAGTATTAGAAATCAAACAAGCCACCTAATATTGCCAATTTTTCAGAGTGAGAGATGTGTCTTTTCCTTCCAAATATTTATTTTAAACAAGGTACTATCAAATCACATGCTTCAGCTTCTATAGACTATCACAGAACTGATATCAAAAAACAGAAAAAGCCTCTGTGGGTGGAAATCTCTAACTCTGCAATGCATCACTTCATATTTCAGGTATGCTGAAAATCAGAGGCATAAGTGAAGCAATATATTGAACCAGACCTTCCCTTGTCAGTGAAGTTCTAGAAAAAGTCTCAGTAATAAGTTTCAATTCTTGTGTCTTTTTGGCTTTACAATATCTATCAAAATTACACTGCAAGCGTTTTAGTGCAAACTATTAGTTTCCTCTTTAATAAATATAAATCACTCATTTATCAAGCAACTTTCCACTGTCTTCTTCCAAAAGAAAAAAAAAAAAGAATTCTGGGGGGGGTAAGAGGCATCACTGAAAAGAAAATGCTTTTATGACTTGAGTGCAACATGCAGAAGTTAACATTGCATTTTCAAAACAGACTCATGTAAACTCAAAAGCATTAAGGAAGGTCTTGCTTAAATTCTCAAAAGAACAGTATTTTCTCCCCTCTGAGTTTTCTCACCTGTTATTGTGAGGAGGGATATTACTGTATTTGAAGGCTTGAAGAAAGCAAATATATGGATACTCATTTTTATTTACAATGCAGGTACACCTCACTTTTATGATGTTTCCCACTTCCATCCTTTGGCTTGTACAAATGCACACCTGAAACATTTTCCAGTCACATAGTTCTGGTTGTAGAAGCCACAACTGAGGAATAAACCACACTAACTCATTTTCTTAGATATTAAGTTATTTCAAGCTGTGACAATCAAACTAAGCAGTTGGTAATACACAACTGAACGACAGTGGTTAGGTGCACTCCAAAAAAGCAGTTAAAGGGACAACGCTTTGTGATCAGTAAGTGATATACATTGCCACTACTGATATACTGGCATACTCTTTATTTCAATTTAGTAGTCATGTTCATTATACAATATTAAACTTAAATAGTACTTTGGCTTGTCCTCAGCCACTTTGAAATTTTCAGAAAGGATCTGCCTTTCAAGTTCAGCACTGCATGGCTCAGAGCATCCTGCAGGAGCAGTCAGGCAGTCTCTATTCCTAACTTCAGTAAGCTTCCCCTTAGAGAATCATTTAGAGATGTTTTAACATCAAAAATTACCTCTGCAGCACAGAAAAAACCTGAAAGTTGATAAAGCAAGTGTACTTCTTGATCTATTTTAATTGGTGTACTGGGCTGATAGAATTAGAGCCCTACTCTCCAACTGAGCCTATATTGAAAATCCAGTGAAAACAGAGATGCAAGAATGAGTCACACTGAACTTCTAACAAAGTTGTGCTTTATTAGAGCCACTCTCCCTACCAGAGAGACAGCAGAGCCCCTTCAAGCACCATTTCTGTCTGCTGCTTCTCCCCACATCAGCATTTGCTTTCTACCTTCTCCAGTGTTCATATGTCCTCTGTTTGATTTGTCTAGAAACATGTTAATCACCGCTCGGTCTCCCTCCAGTCTACCCCTCCTTGGCCAGAAAGCCTCTCTCCAAGAACTGGCAGCCTAAATCACTAGTTCTTGCCCTCTTACACCCTCAGATACTTCTGCCCTCAGTGATTTCCAAGTGGTGGATGTTTTCCTGCAACTTCCCAGGGTTTCAGATCAGAACTACCACCACAATCCTCACCCCAGACACATTTGCCCTTCTATCTGAAACCCTGTTTCCCAGGGTTTCAGATCAGAACTACCACCACAATCCTCACCCCAGACACATTTGCCCTTCTAACCTCCCAAACATGCTCCATTAGTTGCTGATCCTCACCCCAGACATTTACCCTGCTAACCTCCCAAACATGCTCCATTAGTTGCTGAGATAATCAGCAGGGTACAGGCTGCTACCAAATCCTGTTTATCAGCCCTGACTAACATCCCAGAGGAAAAACAGCTGGAAGAGAGTACCAAGCTGTCTTAGAATTAATTCCCTACATAAAACTTTAGGGATAAAGTTTTTCCTTTCATAATATGTCCATGAAATAACCCCACAAAACAGTGCCCTGAGGCAAGATTGATATTTGCCTGTATAACAATAGGAGACAGCTAAGCAGTCGAAGAGACAGCTTAGAAAAAATAACAAAGGGCAGCAGTATTTTACAAGTAACTTTTTCACTTAAGTGGGAAAAAAAGCCTGTTTAACTTGTACCCATCACTAAATCCATGGACAGCAGCACCTGACAGCGCTCTATTGACAGCTCATCCACTTCCAATTTTACTAAAAATATTTCAGACACCAACTTTGAACTTTCTTCTCATTCATATGGTGCAAATAGCTAACTTCATACCTAAATTATCACTTTTTTTTTTTGACTATTTTATGGTGGTATCGATCAGCAGACATATGTAGTTGTATACCTAAATTATCACTTTTTTTTTTACTATTTTAAGGTGGTATCGATCAGCAGACATATGTAGTTGGTCTACGCCAAATGTTTAAAAGTTGGTAAGCATCATCTACACTTATCAGTGGCTGAGGTCAAGGCCATCCACCCCATAATCAAAGTGGCATTGATGTATTTGCCACTCAGTGTACACAATACAGGCAGGGTTATCAGTGTGAAACCACATCCTTCAAAGAGATCCTATAACGCTTCCCTGGCCTGGACTCTCTATCAACACAAACAAAGCTGTCTTTAATTTACCTCCAGATAAAAACCAGACGCTGTCTGCATCTGGGCGATACCTCTAGTAAAACTGGCAGACTTCTGCCTGCAGAATTTATTAGACTATGGCCAGTTTACTGTGGATGGGGGACAGGAGAATCTCTCTCCAGCACATCATCACTCCCACAGGCAAACAGCTATCTGACCTTGGTTCATGCGCTATCGCCAGCTCCCAGGGCCAGGCAGGATTTAGGGTACTGTGCCAAAAATCACCCTCAGCTAAGCTTCCAGGACAGCCCACCACGTGTGTAAACTGCTGCACAGATCAGTTGCCTGCTCTTCTCCTATTGACTTAGAAGCTATGGACTGACTTGAGGCCAAAAATGATCCGTACGTGCTACGGAAAAAAGCGTAGCTATCACTGAGCTTCCTAATGTATGTGACCACAGTCCCCTGTTCTTTCAACTCAGGGGCTTTGTACAGAATAAAACCACTAGTTCTAACACCATTAATAGGTACAACTGAACCAGCACTAATCTCAGCACAACTGCTGGGGCAAACAAGGAGAGAACATGCCAGGCCTTTACTCATCTCCTCCATCTTCCTTATTTATGGCCAGGATTTCTTTTGTGTGTGTGCAGAACACCTTTTTTTAAATTTACAATCACCAGGAGATTTTACTGCAGCCTTTCACCCATTCTGCAACTGTCATCTGTTTGATACCACCAGTCTAAAGAAACATCAGCAACAACTTCTACTTAGTCTCCCACCAATTTTGTTTCAAGTCTAATACAACAGCCTGAAGTTGAGCGTACACCAGGCTATTACAGTTCCATACAATCAAGAGGTATAAGGCACTGGTGCTGGTCCAGAGGCAGCAGCACCTTTGCTATATGCACACCTTTAGCAGGCAGCTCTTCACCCCCATCAAACTTATTCCTGCAGATCTAGACAATGTGACCTAACAAGAAATGGCAACATCGGAAGTCCATCTTCACTCAGGCCCTCAACATTGTAGATGCTGCTTCAGCTGATCCAGCTGTAAGGGCTGGAGCAAGTTCTAGAAACTTTTGCAATTGAATGCTCTACATTTAACAAGTAGCTTAAAAGAGAATATCCCCAACAAATCTTTTTCAGACTAGCTACTGTACTTTCTCCTCATTTTCAGTGCAGTTATAGTGATCTACTTCTACTGTCAGTTTCCATTTTGCTCCAGAAACCATTCTGACCACTCTTACAGCTGCTCCTACAACTCTTTTGTGAGAGCCACAAGATGCAACTTTCTTGCCCAATCAGATCACGATCCAACACCTGCACTTGTCAGAAGGATGCCAGTAGTGACCTGCTTTTAACACTCATCAGTCTAGGACTCAACTCATTCAACAGTTGGCCTGTTCTGGTTTGTTAATGGTAGCTGCAGCAATTACAATGTGAATACTAATTTTCTGTAGCTTACATTCTTTTCTTCCCCTGCAGACACAGGTAAGATTTTAGTCATAAAAGTGAAAAACATGATTGCTCTTACTAAGGGTACAGTCACATTTCTTATGGCACCTCATACTATACCAGGCATTGTAGATGAAGTGTATTTATATTACACTGCTATTTTCTCCTCAAGTTTACCCTTGTAGGTTAGTGAAAATCTCAGATTATATATATTTAGTAATTTGGCTTTGTAGCTTAGCCTGGTTAAAGAGCTTATTCCTCCTGCCTGGTATCTTTCCCCCTCAGAACTGGCATTAACTGAGGGTTTCCAAAATGGAAGCCTAAAGCCCCGCTCTTTGTGACGGTTATCATATCAGGGTTTAAAGTGAATTAAAACTTCCTATCCTTAGAACACCACCATGAGAGAAAACTGTGAACATAACATTCCTATAGTCTGCTTGAGGCACTTCCCAGTGCACTGAGGCAGTAGCATGTGAGATGAAACCTTGCTCCAATATGCAGTTTTATGGCAGTATCTACCCTAATTAGAAAATGCCATATGTAACACTACAGCTATGCAGCATCACTCAGGTAAATATACCAGTGTTGGTCCCAAATCATTCCAAAATAAGACCAGGAAACTTGAGCATTTCATTTGACTGGCATGAATTCTAACTATGACAGCTTACACGTCAACAATAGCATATTTCCTATTGATCAATTTTAGTCTAAACATCAACCTTAACAACCTACTCCTTCCCACTAGATCAAGCTGCACTCAACCTTGCCACTAGCTCAAGGATTTAAACACTCAACTGTTACCAGAGGGAGTAAATGAAAGTTTAAAGTTTAAGTGCACAGTAACTACAAAGTGCCAGCACCTATGGATTTTTAAATATGAGATTATCTGTGCTACAGAAAAACTGAAAAGCAAGAGCTGTCTCCAGTTTTATTGCAAAATAACTTCATTGTTGTCTCACAAACTACCTCATTTACCCAGAACTACCACAAAGTGAAAGTTGGGGGGGTGGGTTCTACCAATGGTAACAACTTACAGTAGCTTTTCTAGAACAGACCATATGGTGCCACAAAAATTAGGATATTGGGTTTTATTTACTACTTCATACTGAACTTCCAGTGACTCCACGCCCATGAAAAATACCTCTTTGCTTTACTTTTTTTAAGCTTTTTAAAGTTTATTGCCTCTGATCCATACCATTAGAGACCACCAGGGCACTGCTGTTACTCTTAGGACTTTCTTTCCTGCCACAGGCAGTTAAGTGCTCAAAAAATACCTGTCTATATAGTCTAATCTGATATTCTTCTCCTATATACTTAGCAACACTTATGTAACAATTTTTTATCATGATGTTTTAATTGATGACAAGTTTCCAACTATGGATTAATTTTTCAGCAGAGTAAGGAGGAGGATTTTTGCATTATTCAATGAAAATAAGTGTCTGCCATGGCTTTGGCTGGGATAGAGTTGACTGGCTTACTGGCAGCTGGTACTGTGCTATGTTTTGGATTTGGGATGAGAACAGTGATGGTTTTGGTTGTTGCTAAGCAGTCATGGCCTCTTCTGCTCCTTGTAACAGCAAGCAGGCCAGGAGTGCACTAAAAGCTGGGAGGAGACACAGCCAGGACAGCTGACCAAAGGGATATTCCACACCATATGCCACCATGCTCAGCATATAAAGCTGGGGGAAGAAGTAAGGGGGGAGATTTAGAGTTATGCCATTGTTTAATGGCAACACACCTGCAAACTCTATATCCCCAAAATATGTGTAAATATAAATTCCTTTCACCTTTAACAAGTAATTTATCTCGAACAGACACCCTCCGAGTTGAATCAGAAGCTGGATTGGATGCACGGGGTCCTCTGACACCATCATCCCGCTTCAGCTTGCTTGCCAGAGTTAGCATTACTGCTGTCTTCAACCTAGAACACAAATATTCAAAGTCAATTACCAAAACTAAAGCACTGGGGGGAGGGGAGAGTAAAAAAAGTTATTTAGTTCCTTATTCAACAACTATCATCATATTCTTAGCAATCAAACAAAGAACACGATGTGTACAGATAACACGACTGTAATTAAAAATAAGGATGGCCTAGAGTACTTTAAGAATGACAGCTTGTTTCAGATGTGAATACTGAGAATTTGAGTACGTTAGGCTAAGAGGAAGTTCAATTTTGCTGGAGAAAGGTCAGACTTTCATCACTATTTACAATCCAATTGCACTGCACCATCTACCACAGTATAGCACTGCTTGACATCGTTCCTTTGAAATAACAGCAGTGAAAACACCCCTGCTGCATCTCTGGCCAGACTACCTGCTGAAGACCCTTCTCATCCACGCTCCAGGTGACAATATTCAGAGCTACTTTTTGGCTGGTGCAAAAAAAAAAAAAAAAGAGAAAGAGAAAGGGGAAGGGCTACTGGAACAATTCTCTAACACTAGGAAGTAGCTTTGAGTCAGCTATCAGGACACAGGAAAGGAAATAGATTTAAACTGCATAACAGTAACCCTTCACAGCACAGAGCAATGGTGGAAAGAGTTACACAGAGATATTTGGTAAGTGAAATGAAGGGATTTTTTGCTGTGTCAGTCCTCCACTACAGAAGATAACAGCACTGATAAATAAATTACAATAAAAGGTGGACAGAACACCAAAGTCATAAAACCAAAACATACAGTCTGTTATGGCTTAATACATTTTGACACTACTCCTAGTTAAAAGCAACTAATTCTTCTTACCAGTTTGGCCTAAACCAAAGTAATGCTGACAAGATCATCAGCCTAAAGGCCCCATCACCACTAAAATGGTAAGAGAAATGTTTATCCTTCAGCCACAGGAGTTAATCCAAGAAAATAAAGGGGAAAAAATTGTACAAAGTCAGGATATAGTCTTTGCATGAACTAGTTTTCCACAGAAGACCAGACAGGTGTGATGCTGCAGTTACCGAGACTTGAAACATCAGCTTTCAGATTATAAAATGGAGAATCAGCAGAGATATTAATAAGGCAAATGATAAAGTCCAGCAAACCACTAAGATGACCACACTAAAAAATGACAAGGCTCAGTACAAGATTTATTTCTGTCAGTTTCAGCTTTATACCTCTGAATGTTTCCCTTCTTGCTATAAGCAAGCCCTGAAGTGAAGTTTAACAGGTCCATTGCAACAGCAGTTACTTCACTTGTTCATTTTCTTTGTTCTTTCTCCAGAGAAAAGAAGAGATAAAGCCTCTGGCCTGCCACGCTAGTCACTACATCTGCAAAAGACAGCCCTATTCCTTTCCCAAGGTTGTGAGAAAGTTGACAGATTTACACCAAACATCAAAACAATACCAAAATACCACTGAAGGAGCAAGAAGGGGAAATAAAACAACTGACAGTAAGTACACTCGGATGTTGAGAAAGCCATAATAGATAAGTCAGTAACAAGGTTTAAAAGAACTCAAGAGCAGCTGTTTCACAATAGTACCTAAGAGTATGAAACTCTGGTAAGATCTACAAGAAGGTCAAGTTCTCTGAAACTGACAAGTATCAGCATTAGCTTCAAGACCCAGATTTCAAAAAAAAAAAAAAAGTAAAAGTAAAATTCAGGACAAATGTAAATCTCACTTCCTCAACCAAAATGTAAATATTTGGTAGATTTTTTTCTCCCACTACCCCAGAAAAAGAAAGAATAAGCCAACAAAGCAGTCCTTTTTACCTTGAGAGAGACCTTCTCCCCTGAGGAAGAAGAAAGACAACAGTTGATTTAAAAAAAAAAAAAATTAAAAAAAGGGAGTGGGGGAGTGAGGGAGTCAGAGAAGTAGTTTCCTAAAAGGAAAAAAAAAAAAAAACCGCACCAAAAAAACAGAAAAGAAAAACTGCAGGGAACACCCCACACCCACCCACCCCAAAAATACAACAAAACTTTTAGGTGCCAAGTGCCAATAAAACCAACTTCAATGGGAATTAAATACCTAAGTATCTTCCTAGATCTGTTTCCTCACTGCTTGTCACAGAAAACAGGGAACCCAAAGAGAAGCCTGAGCAGTGTGGAAAAGCGATAATTTGCTCCAGCCATCCCCCAAAATTTCATCAATAGCGCACAGCGAGGAAGCTCCCAAAACTTGCTAACCGCACGGGGAAAGTAAGGCTTTACCGCTGCACGACACCGGGGAGGGAGGGGTGTTGTGCTTATTTATAAGGAAAAGCAAGAGAGCCCCGGAATTGCTCCAGCTCCCCCCCTTCGGAGCGGAGGCAGCGGGGGGGCCACCGGTGCCCGCTCCCTGCGCAGCCGCCGCTACCGGGAGGCCCCTCCGCAGGGGGCAGGGGGGGATCTCCGAGTACGACCCTGCTGGGCCAGAGGAGTAGTTCCGAGGGACCAGCGGGGCCCCCCAGCACCACCGGCGAGGCCCCAAGGCCTGAGGGGGCCGGTGCCGCCGCAGGAGCTGTGGGGGGCACCGCGGGGGTGAGGCGAGGGGACAAGGCCCGAACTGAGTGGGCTATAGGCCC